GATCCTTATCTCGGCTGAAGAGAAATAAATGTTGGTCATACCTGCCAACTTCCTGCAGCCTAGATCCTTATCTCGGCTTAGGAGAAGTAAGTGTTGGTTTTTTCAGCCAACCACTCTTCAGCCTAGATCCTTATCTTGGTTGAAGAGAAATAAATGTTGGTTATACCTGCCAACTTCTTGCAGCCTAGATCCTTATGTCGGCTTAGGAGTAGTAAGTGTTGGTTTTTCCAGCCAACCTCTTCAGCCTAGATCCTGATCTCGGCTAAAGAAAGTTCAAAGTTGGTTATTCCTGCCAACCTAGAGTGAAGTGTTTGGTTATTCCTGCCAAACTTCTTCAGCCTAGATCCTGATCTCGGCTGAAAAGGGCTCAAAGTTGGTTATTCCTACCAACCTAGAGCGAAGTGTTGGTTATTCCAACCAACACTACTTTCAATGCCCTTAGCTCACTAAAGCAACTTTTACATAAGAAAATTTATGCTGAAAAGGAAACTACTTGTTTTATTGAAAAAAAAGAAAAATTACAAGTATTTTAAAGGAAAGTTAAAAATAACATAGTTTGAGATTGGCAATGTTCCATGGCCTGGGAATGGCCTTCCTGTCTCTATCTTTTAAGTGGTATGCCCCTTTTCCTGCTAATTCAACCATTTTGTAAGGTCCTTCCCAATTAGGCCCTAACTTTCCATCTTCGGGTACCAAGGTGTTTCCCATTACTTTGCGTAGCACCCAATTTCCAATCTTAAATTGCCTCGGATGTACTGTCTTGTTATATTTTCTGGATAACTCTTGCTGATATGAGGCGATGTGGACCAGGGCTCTTTTTCTTCTTTATTCTGCTAGGTCAAGTTCCAAGGTTATGGCTTCTCCATTCAAGTCTAGGTCGAAGTTTTCACTTCTAATTGTCGGAAGGCCGACTTCTAGTGGGATTACTGCCTCCATGCCGTAGGCTAAGGAGAATGGCGTTTCTCCAGTTGACCGCCGAGGTGTGGTACGGTAAAGCCCATAAAACGTGGGGAAGCTCCTCCGTCCACTTGCCTTTTGCTTTCTCTAACGTTTTTTTAAATCCATCCAAGACGACTTTGTTTGATGCTTCCGCCTGGCCATTTTCTTGGGGGTATGCCGATGTAGAGTTGTAGAATTCTATCTTGTTCTCCTCACAAAAGCCTCAAAAAATTTTACCATCGAACTGAGTGCCGTTGTCAGATATTAGAGCCTTAGGTATGCCGAATCGAGTGATGATATTCTGCCAGATGAACTTCTTCACGTCTTTTTCCTTCATTGAGGTGAGTGCTTCTGCTTCCACCCACTTTGTGAAGTAGTTTGTTGCTGCGAGAAAGAACTTTCTGTTGCCGGGTGCCGTTGGAAGCGGTCCTATTATGTCCAAGCCCTACATTACGAAGGGCCATGAGCTAGTTAAAGGTCGAAGCTCTCTGGCTGGTTGATGTATTTGGTGTGCGAACTTTTGACATTTTTCGCACCGCTTGACATACTTCTCTGAATCTACTTGCATGTATAGCCACCAATATCCTTGTGAAATTGCTCTGTAGGCCAATGATCTTCCCTCTTGGTGGCTTCCGTATACGCCCTCATGTATCTCGAACAAGAATGTTTCGACCTTGCTGGGATGAACACATTTTAAGTAAGGTCCTGTGAAGGATTTTTTGTACAAGGCTATTGATGGGGAGAGCCAAAATCGCTGTTACTTTGCTCTTATTTTGTTGGCCTCTTTCTTCTCTTCGGGTAAGATGTCGTCTTTTAAGAACACTATAATGGGATCCATCCATGAAGGGCCTAGTTTGGCACAACATACCTCAACTACTTCAGGTTCTTTAATGCTTGGTTTTGGTAGGAAGTCGATCAGTAATGGATGTGGGATGGATGTATCTGCCATCGAAGCGAAGCTTGTGAGTTCGTCTGCTCTATTGTTTTCTTCTCGGTCGATCTGCTTTATCCGCACTACTTCGAATTTCATGATCTCCTTCCTGACTAACTCTTAGTACTTAGCCATTCTCTCATCTTTTGCCTCGTAGTCGCCTGTAATCTAGTTTACTACTAGCTGGGAGTCACTGTAAACCATTAGCTCGGTGGCCTTCAAGCCTACTAAAAGCGCTTCATACTCCGCTTCGTTGTTTGATGCGGGAAAGCCAAGGTTGACTGCTTGTTCCACTACTAGGCCATCTGGTGAGATGAGGACTATGCCAAGTCCTGCACCGTGTCTGTTGGATGCTCCATCCACAAAGAGCTTCCACATCTCTCTAACGAATAGCTTCCAGCAAGTGGAGGGGTCGGATGATGTCTTGGGGTCATGCATGTTGCTGATGTCTTCTTCAAAGTCCACACCTACTGTTGGGATTTGCTTTTCACTATCCGACTATCCCAAGTTTTTACTTGTTGATGAGTCCTCACTGGGAGTGGCCTAGTTTATTCATTCCTTCTGATGCTCAAGCCTGTGTGGCTTGCAATGTGGTTGGGTAACCTGTATCAGGGGTTGCGCATTTCCTGCGGCAATTTTTGTCCCCATTTTGGTTGTACCAGTCAAGTCAACTGGGCAAATGTGATGACTTCCTGGTGTGAACTCTACCAGGAAGTCTGCCAAAGCTTGGGCTTTTATTGCGGTTCTGGGTTGAAACTTGATATCAAACTGTCCCAATTCCACCGCCCACTTCAAGATTCGCCCAGAAAAGTTCGCCCTCTCAAACAAAGCTTTTAAGGGAAAAGCTGTTAAGACGATTATAGTGTGGGCGTGCAAGTAATGCGATGGCTTCCTTGAGGCCACGGTTTTGGCTGTTACCGCCACCCGTTACGGCCGCTTTTGTAGTGTGATTGAGATTCACAGGTGCGTCGGCCGTAGCGGCTGCTGTAGCGGTCGTAACGGTGCCGTAATAGCCGTAACGGCCCGTTACGCACCGTTACGTAACGGTTCCAAACTGTTTCTTTCGGAAAAAAAAATGCTGAAAATGGGGGAAGAGAGATAGAGAGAAGAGGGAAGATGAAGAACATGTTATTGATTTGTTGAAACTATATGACCTATGCTATTCTATTCAGCTGCTATTACTAAACTATTTTGTTTGTGTGTGTCTATCTATATTTTGTTTGAAAATAATAATAATAATAATAATAATAATAATAATAATAATAATAATAATAATAATAATAAGTGTGGTCATTATCTATTTTGCTGGAGATCATTATATATATTTAGGCTCTTATTTATTCTTTTACTTTTGTCATTATTTATCTTATATATAATAATTAGTGATTGATTTTTTGTAAAATATAAAGTCATTAATTATTAAAATAAAATGTAAAAAACTCAGTTTATAGTGATTTAAAAATATGAAATATATTGGATCATACTTAAAAATTTATAAAAATTGATCAATATTTATTTTTAACCCAATAAATATGATTATGGAAAAAAAAATATGCGTATCGGTAAGTTTTTTTCAAATTGTGCAAAAAATAAAAAAATTCACGGTTCCGGTTACCGCAACCGTTACACTACGACCTTTACACCCCGCAACCGCAACCGCGTCACCGCCACCGTTACGGCGACCGCAACCGCTTTTCAGAACCTTGTTCAAAACCAATTGCTTTGGGTGGTAGAAACACACATCAGGCTTCAGTCAGTGAAGCAAAGCAAAGCGTTACAAGGGATGAGGGAGATCAGAGGGTTACAGAGGGAACAGGGGAGAGGAGGAGAAAGGAATTAAGCCACCAATTATCCCAAAACTATCACCTTGGAAATACGATGGCATTTAGACTAAATGGCAGCCTGGGGGAATCTAGAGGCCTTTGGGTAGCCTACAAAACTATCACCAAGGAACAACAACGGTGTTAAGACACCAATTATCCCAAAAGCTTAAATTGTTAGAAAATGAGCCCAACAATGTATATCAAGCTATCCAACACTCTCCCTCATGTGCAACTCCATTTTGCATAGAGACGAAACATTCATACATAGAGAAGTACGAATAAACACAAGAGAAGTAAGAATGCAAACGGGCAGGAAATGCAAATGGAGAGGAACCTACTCAACCTATGCTCTAATACCATATTAAGTAACCAATTATCCTGAAATATTAAGTGTTAGGAAATGGGCGCACCAATGCATATCAAACTGTCCAACAAACGGTTCCCATAGCAACGAACAACTTTGGAGAAGAAATGAGCTGCAGACAAAGGGGACATAACTTACCTTCGTCTATAGTCTTGAAACACCACACTCTTCCCAAATGAGCTTCTCTATATCCCTTCCTTAAAGCCTACCTCAAAATTAGGCCTATTTAGAATCGAGCCCTCAACCTCAAAAGGCTGCTTTACTATATCCACGCCTCCATCCAAATGCAACAAAGCTTCCTTTGCCTCACAACCCACTTCAAAATAGTCCACAAGACCATTAGACTGCCTAACAACAAAGAACGATTTGGGCTTCCACATAGATTTGCTATTATGAGGCCTCTCCTTACTAGGCTGAAGCATCTTTTGCATAAATCTAGGCACCGAATCACGAGCCTTTTGACCCTGTCCAGACCCAGCAAAAAATGGATCATAGGTCAAATTATGAAGAGACTTGCTCCATGGTCATTTTCCCACCATACACCGCCAGCGAAAGACAATTGCTTTCCACAGCTTTTTGAAATTCAAATCCTTGCCCCTAGCCACACCACGTGTCTACCGAACCCTCTATCCCCACTTCCACACACCTCCCTTGGATGGCTTAGCTTCTGAGTTTCTCTATGCCATATTGAATTCTCGATACTTTCATACTTCGAATGTTAGAAGACATGTGGTTTTCAAATGAGAAACTACAAGGCCTACAAATTTTCAACATAGAAAGGGGAAATCGCATCTTTTAAGCTAGAGTGTCACCTAAGAAAAGGATTCCTAAAACTTGAGTGGAAGCAGATTATACTCTATTCCTATGCACAAAGTTCAGATTCAAGCATCATAAACCATGTCAAAGAAATCATTTGCATCATAAACTAAAACTGTATGGATGGCAGGTAAGCTGCTTTTTCAAACAGGTTTACAATATCAAAGTCATAGTAACCACTATAATTAAAATCAAGTATGACCATCGGGCCCTCCATACCACCTGGTTGTGGGCTGTTAGGAAAGCTTTGCCATTAAAACCATCTCAATTGATTCCAAAAAGTAACTAGGCATTTAGACTAAATGGGCTAGGGGAATCTAGAGGCCTTTGGGTAGCCTACTGTCAATATGCCATTCCCGCCTCCAATCCTTTTTTCCCTGACTTTAGAGTATGGTCTTCCAAGAAAATTGTGGAGATGATCGTTTCATGTCAATAAAATTCAGGAAGATAACAACGAGTACGAGTTATGCACATTCCATGCTATGGTGTCACCACCATCTTTAGGATTTTCCACTTCACTAGTTCTGCTTCGAGATATTCCTAAATATAGCAAGAGTAGTGATATCAAGACTTTTATGTCATTGACAAATTATTAGTACCAACACTCTCAGACTTCAAAGAAGACTTCATGTGGAGATGTCCATAAAACTATTTTTATAGGAGCTCTAAGGAAAGTAAGCACTGATTGTTGATATCTGTCAAAATAATGCTGTTTCTTTCAAAATCCTTCTAGAAAAAAGGCTTTGTTCAGAGGCAGACTTCTTGTTACACCATGCCTGTACTTTTCAGTAACTACATATATATATATTTCTTTTTCCATTTTCAAAAGGAGGAAATTTTCTGGCACCAATTCTTCATAATTTGCCATAAAAAGGTGTCAAACAAAATTGATTAATTGAACAAAGAAGGGGAGGTAATATGCTTACAATGAAACATCCACCAAAACGATGCTCCAGTAATTGTTCTTCAAGTGGACCTAGAATTAAGCAGTAAGGTCAACGTAAGATCAATAAAAAAAAAATTCATAAATGTCTGTATGTGTTTGAATTACAAAAAGGGACATGCGGAAACAAGCTACACAGAATCTCAAAACAAAGAAAAAACTCCACTAAATCACGAAGCTGGCCAAGGCTCTCCAATATCACAAGAGACAACAAATCCAATAGTTTAGTGTTGGGTAATGCTCCCCATAACCAACTGTACAAGATACTTAAAGTCCACTTTTAAACTTGTACAAAAGCTCCTCCATTTCATCAAAATATCTACCCTCCCCCATATAATCCACATGACGTATAGAGAGACCACAAGAAGATTTCATCCTTATTTTCCCAACTCTACCACCCCTCCAACTATGTATAAGATCAACCATACCACAAGAGGGATTCCAAGATACCCCCAAAACAACCAAAGTCATCACCCACAACACCTTGGGCAAAGTCAATTGTAGACTGTTTCTCCATCCTTCTTGCACATACAATACCTTTTGACCATAACAAGTCTTCTACAAATCAAATTACTCACAAGAAGAATTAGACCGGAGCCACCTTAGAAGCCGCATTTAAGCTCTAAATCTCTCTCCCAAGGAAAAGATGATGCTAGCCTACCCAGCAAAGCACTAATAAAATATGACTAGTGCTCTAAGAAGCATAGACATGGACATGGACATAGACACAGACAAGGACAAGGACAAGGACACGGACACGTGACGTGACATGATATGACGTGACACTTGCACAATGACACGTATGTAGGACACGTGCAAAAATCTATTTTTATTAATTAAAAATATATTTATTTACATGTCATATATAATAAATAAGCACTTATTGTGGGTGTTTGGGAAGTGGGTTTTTATGTAGGTTTTTTTAGTTGTAGGATATTATTGGAGAAAAAAAATTTTGTGTTTGGGAAGATAGTTGAGTTTTTTTGTGGTTGGATGTGATATTTTGTTTGGATGTGTTTTTTTGATTTTGCAAAAAGTATGTCTTTTAGTGGAAAAAATCAAAAAAAAAACTAAACCCAAACTTCCCAAACACCCCCATTATATGTCATGTATAATGCTATTTAATTCAAAGACAATAACAAAATGCTATCTAACACGAATTTCTAAACTCTAAATAATAGATATAAATATACATAATTTTTCTTTTGTCATTGGAATTCAAGTTATTTTATTCAAACTTGTATTGTATTTCATGTGTGCCTAAGCGATGTGCATGTGTTATTGAAGTGTCTAAAGTGTGTTTGAATCTAGAAAAATTTTAAAAAATAGTGGGACAAATTTTAAGGTGTGTTTGACGAGGGTTGAGAAGCATCTTGTAAGTGTGGAAGCACAATACACTATCTTCTTAGAAGCGTCTATATTTCTTTGGTAGTGCTATACAAACAAAAACATTGTACAAAATTATTATACATAATGATGCCTCTTATTTAATGGTTTCATTTAAAAACATTTTGCCATCAATATAAACATAATTTACACATTTGCCACTTCCACATCATTCTGAAAGTAAATTTTGTATAGAATATATTGTATCTATTATTTTCCATAAAATATTTCAATTCAAAGCATCCCGACCTCAACTTCTTCTCCCTCATGATACCCTCTCTGACTCTTAAACCAATCATGCCATACAACTTCTAAAAAAAGAGCCATTATCTATTCAAACTCCCAATCCTAAAATTTCCTTCTAAAGATGTATCCCGACTGGCTCCTGTTAACAATGAGATAATCAACCATTTGAAGACAAACCCAAAAAAGTCAGGACATGTGGTCTCCAAAACCTCACCCTTTCTACCCACCCTACAATCTACTATGTCTCCAAAACACATCCCACCCATTTTAAATTTCTTACCATAAGGCATAGAGTCCTCCATCAGTAACCAGTGACCACAGCCCCACAAACTGCCATATTTGTAAACACACCCTCCAAAATCTATCCCACTCAAAGCCATATCTTCAGAGCCATTTACATACAAGATCTCAGTCGAAATCTTTTAATACCCAGCCCTTCCTGTCTAATTGGTGATTGTATCATGTTTGATTATATTAAGATATAATTATCATGTTACTAAGAACAAAATGAATTTAAAATAACATAAAAGAGAAAGAAGTGATAATTAATAAAGGAACTATAAAAATAAATAAATAAAACCTTCATTTTCTGCAAGATCACAAGCAGAAGTTGATGAACTCAATTCAATGCCATCATCATCATCTGAATTTATAGTAACTGGCCCATTCTGCAAGCATTTCAGATTAAAAAGTACTGAGAATATTCAAAATAAACATCTAGATTGCTTGAACAATGAGTAAGATAAAGAAGTCAGATACATCAGACAGAAGCCGAGATAGAGTACTGTCTAAATGTCTGCTGCCAGTAGAAGTGACTCCATGGTTTAGGGTTCTTGCTGTGTAGGAGTTCGATCCAGAAAAAGAGCACCAGGGATCAAGATAATTAGGACGAGCATCCGACACAGATATCACCTCATTGACAGCATCATCACAAGCATCAACATCTAATATTTCATTGTTGAAGTCCTTTTTTTTAGTCTTGGCTTCTTTTGCAACTACAAAGTAATTGTAGAGAAGGAGGTTACAAATTCAATATTGCTACATTCCAAAAAAAGTAAGTACTGAATCTAATGATATTAGATCTACGAACAAACAAACAAATCAAAAATTAAAAAGAGAGAAAGATGTTAAAGATGTTAAAGAAAAATAAATTTTTGAGGGAAAAAAGGCAATTACTATTCAAAAGCTCGGAATAAAATAATGTTCATATTTCTTTCATCATTATTGTCATTAATATGATTCCATGTTACGGTCATCAGATACAAGCCTCCAAAGGGCTATAGAGCTCATTCAAACTCTTGAAAATCAGCAATACATTGATGCTGTCAAAAACCTAACCCAACCAATGGACACATTTCAAATGCACTTCAAACAACATAGATGCAACCTGAATCACACTTTATGAATTATATAACTGTTGTGATTACCACAGTAGGCCAGAAGAGAATGCATCTCTTTGTGGTCATTGTACCATCAAAAGTGCACAAAGCCATTAGCAGCATTGGTGCAGTCAACTTACTGTAATGTGTACACGAATTTGAACTAATTTTTTAAGAACATAACTACCTCCTATCAAGCATAATCCATTTTGTTGAAATAAGGATTAAGCAAGTATGCTGCATACATCCTTATCCATGCAGATCAAATAATTGGAACAAAAATCAAAAGCATCTCCATTCCAGACACTTGCAGACCTACTTCTGTTCAGTGCCAGCTTTGGGCACAAGCAACACAAGCGGTCGCTTTGGGCCCCCAAAAATTGGTGGAAAAAAAGACCCAAAAAATTGAAAAAATATCAAATAAGCCTTATTTTTTTGTTATTATACTCGCTAAAAGCGGCCCCTGAAAAAACAAAAAAATTATTGGTACGGTGAATTATTTAAAACTAATTGATGGTTGTTTTTCAAATATATGAATTGTATATAGAATATTATTGATTATAGTTATTACTTACAATTATTTATGAGAGAAAGAAACGTTTCAAATTTGAAATCGATTATATCATACATTTAGTGAAGTATGTCACAAGAAAAATTGAATGATTTTGGTTGATAAGTTGATTAAAACAAACATGATTAGTAATTTTACAGTTAAAAATGTGATGGTTCAAAAAAGTTAAATTACCAACTAGTTCAATTCTGCCCAAAAATGATTCAAATATCGGTTCATATTAGAACTTTGAGCCATTTATATATATATATATAAACCTCATATTAGAAGCTTGCTTTGGGCCCCAGAAAAGGCAAAGTCGGCCCTGCTTCTATTAAATAATACTCATAGATTAGAAACCCAAAATATCAACTTGATATTAATGTCATTAACCACATTCAAAAAATAATAATAATAATAATAATAACAAGACCAAAGAATACACATCTCGTAACATATCAAAGAAATTATTCACCCAAAGGATAATATCTTCCAAAATAGTCAATTGAAAATTTTATTTAAAGAACAAAAAAAGGCTCCTAAGGCTGATAATGTCAGACATCAATACAACTTTTTCAATTTTAATTTCCTTTTACACCTTTGGCACCATTGATACTATCCTTTCAAGTTGAACCAACATTTTCCTGTACAGTAATTAATTGCACTCGTATAATCACTCTTGACAAGCACACAAATGGCCAGCAATACTGTATATTACATCTAGTAATTCATTGATTGAGTGAAGTACAGAAATAAACCTCAGAGTACCTACCAAATTTATTAAAAACAAGACAGACTTAGATAGAGAAACAATAAAATCACTAACTGTAGAAAGGGGAAAACATTTTAATCATATATCTTAAAATGAGAAAATATCACAATCCAGATTAAATGGGAAAATACACTACATCCAGTGCACTCAATCTACTATTAAGGATCACAAACCCTGTTGATGATAACAGAAATGCATTCCACTAATTCACCTCATATTTTCTTGTATGTTTAATGTCTTCCTCTAATATGTGCCCTTCACTTTGCCCATAATTTGTCCCTTGACCCAGTTCATATTTCTCCTCTTTTAGTTCAAACTTCATCCCTTTGCCAATTTTCTTCTTCTTCTTCTTTTATTATTTATTTTTAATGTATTATCTGATTTTTCCTATTCACCGAAGTGGGAGGTAATGATGAATGATCAGACGATCCATAAGAACCACAGTGCAATAAAAATTGAATCCATAAAGACAAACTTAATGACAACAAAATCAGCCCAAAACTCAACCAAAAATTAATGATATACTTCAATCTTGGAATTGTCAAGGGGAAGGGACATGAAATTACTTGTACATATTTTCTTTGTGGGTGATCAAACAAAACAAAAATAAATAAATATATGACAAAACCTATTCAATTTCTTCTCATTCTTCTTAATCCAACCAAACACGAAAATAAAATTAGCTTATTACACTCCATGTTCTTTTCCAAATTTTTTCCTTCACAAATCCAACATCCAAACATAACTTACACACACAATATATAATATATAGAGCGAACTGCATGCAGGTGGGAGTTGAGGAAAAAATTTACAAACACGTGGGGTTGCAAGTGTGTCTATGGTGGGGTGCTGCAAATGAAAGGCTCTGTGGGTGCAAGTGTTGCAGCCCTCCATATGTTGGTAATTTTTTTCCTTTAACTCCGACCTGCATGTACTTCCCCCTAGTATATATATACACAAACACACAATATAAATGGGTATATAAATACAAACATATAAAGAGATTCTACAATACATAACCCCATAAGGATATATCATATGCAAATAATGACACTTTATAGTGTTAATACCACTTTCAGTCATAATCAATGGGATCACAATAGATCATATTCATAACCAAACACCACTTGAGCCATAAATCAAAACCACCAAATGGGTCAAAAAAACGAACTCATAACCAACTTCAAAACCAACACTACAGTGGGTTACACAGACCACAAAAATCATAACTAGGCATATGGTACACCCATTTGTGGGTGTGTATCATATAATTTCTCATATATATATATATATAACATAATTAGGGTTTTGAAGAGGCATACAGCATTGGAGGAATTTGTATTTGTTGACAGGGGAAGAATCGGAGTGATGGATTTTGAATTTCTGAGACATCGTCTTGGAGGCGATCTCGACCTGCTCTTCTGCTTTGCTGAATTCAAAGATTTCGAATGGATTGCTTGAACTTCTCGCCCTACTCCTCGTCTTCATTCTCGACAACAATAACGATGATCATACGCCCATGAGTCTCTGAGAAAATCAACAATTTGAATTGCTTTTGTGGTGTGGTGTGTGTGGTGTGGTGAGGAAGGAAGAACTCTTGTTTGGTTTGTATCTATTTTATAAAAATTGAGTTTTTTTTTTTTCTGTATTTTTGTAATATTTGAAATATTTTTTTATTTTTAAATGCACCTAAAATAAATATATGCACATAAAATAAATTTATTTTAAAAATATAATATTTATTTTCATATTTTTGTATATTTATTAATTTTTATCACATGTTTTGTAGAAAGGAAAAAAAGTATTTGTTGCCAACTAGAGACAATTTATTTATTTATCATTTAATGTATTATTTTAAATAAATAACAAGTTAGGTTTTAGGTCAATTAATAAATATATTATAATTATTTTTATATTATTCTCAAGTTATTTCAAATTAGTCATCCCTTGACCCATTCATTATTTTTTTTGAGTAAATCTAAGACCCCGTTTGAAAACAGGTTAATTTAGTATTTTTTTGACTATTTGGTTAAAATATGAGCTAAAAAAAATTAGTATGTTTGAGACGACTTTTTGACATTTTACGAAAAAATGTGCAAAAAGTAGAGAGAAAAGAGAATCTTTGACTTTTTGGTATAGATTGTCGACTTTTTGATTTTTTTAATAATTTTTTGACTTTTTAACTAAACCGGTCACTTCCCAAACGAGACCTACATAAAATTTTCACAAAATAAGACATATATGTGAAATAAATAGTGTAAATGTCACGGTTGTAACTCTCATTCCTCTAGCTTATACATGTCTCCTTATATAAATTTATTTCATTTTTTATATATGTAGCACTACTGTTATTTTTTTCCGAATAATATTATATGTATCAATTGCTATATCAATTAAAATAATAATGGACAATATCACAATAGTTTAAAATATTTTAATATTTATAATTTATATAATAGGTGAAGTCAATAATAATATCATAACTATTATTGATACACTAATTAATACATGCAACATCATTCAAAATAAAATAGTTATAAGTAAAATATTAAGGGGTCATTTAAAATTGGTTTATTTAGTGATTTTTTTATTTTTTTAAAAAAAATAGACTTAAAAATAGAAAAATAATGTGACAATTTATAACAAATAACAAAATTTAAATTATAATTAAAATAATATCAAAGGCCTTATTTGTGGTAATCCAAAAAAGTTAAAAAGTCAAAAAATCACTATTCTATTTAAGTCATATTATGTTATTTAAGTCACATCACCTATTTATTACATCACTTCAAATTCAACACATACACAACTCATATTTCATAAAAAATTAAAAAAAATACTTATTTAAATCATTCCAAACAATCCAAAATGTCTACGTACCATACATAAAGAGAAGAAATTTTATTCAGCAGTGTCGTAAGCAATACATGGTGCTTCATGAAATTATTAGAACCGTCACATCACATTATTTTGATTTTCTGAAATTATTTTTTAATTTTTTTAAAAAATAAAAATTAATTTAACAAAAATAAATGTTAAAAACATACTTTTAAATTTAAAAAATTAATTTTACCAACTACAAAACAAAAGTATATAAGACAAAAGTATATATGATGATAGTGCTTTATATTTTTTACTAAATTAATATTTAAATATTTAAATTTTGTTTAGTGAAATTAACTATTAATTATTTCATCAAACTTAAATTAATTTTTTTTTTCATAAAATCAAGATTAAAAAAAATCATCATATTTGATGAAATTTTGAAATAAATTTGGAATTTTTAAAAAGAATTTTATGGAATTTTTAAAGCTCAATATATAGAAAAATGCTATAGATTCCAAGTAAATTACCAAATAAATTATCAAACTTCTCACATGGGTGTGAGACCCACACACATGTGATTTGTATGGATCTCACACCCATGTGAAAGGTTTGGTAATTTATTTGAAATCCCTAGCATAACTCGCGATTTTCTCATTTTGCCCAATTCACTAACCAGATATATATATAATATTTCAAAATTATTTAAACTTTTTATATTTTAAAACACCAATGTTCTTTGAATTTTATTTTAAATATTATCTATACCAAAATAAAGTCACATTTTATTTTGTTTATTTTAAAAAATTATTCACAACAATTGTTATTTTGTTTATTTTAAAAAATTATTCACAACAATTGATGAGTTTAAAAATTGGGTCATGTAGAAAATCAATTTAATTGAAATATTTAGGCTTGGTTTGGGGTACACTAAATAATAGAAAAAGTCAAAAAGTCACTATCCTATTTAAGTTACATCATCTTATTTAAATCACATCACCTCTCTAACACGTCACATCAAATCCAACCCAAACCCAACCCATATAAGCCAATAAGTCAAAAAATATATTTTTTTAGAACATCCCAAACCAACCCTTAAATCCTAACAAACATAGATAACTTATATTTATTCCTTTTATTCATAAACTACAAATGTGTAAACATAGATAACTTATATTTATTCCTTTTATTCATAAACTACAAATATTTACACATACATTGTATTTGCGCACACAGTTACAACATTTTCAATCCTGCATTGGTATGTGATCAACTCTTATATAATTTTAAAAAGGAAGACAAAAATGCTATTAATCAATCGGTGTACAAAATTTGACAGATTAAAATGTGTGAAAATATATAGAAACATGTTGAATTATTTTAAGAGTGTAAGATTTCAATACTTTATGGTACTTTTCTTTATTTTATTTTTTTTATAAATAGTAATGATATTCACATTTGTTCTTTATAAATAGTTACTGAAATATAATATTTTATAATTAATTAATTAATAAAAAAAATTATTTGAACCATGTATGCCAACTGTTACCTAGTTATATCATATGGTTTTATTCTTACTGGACTTTTGGGCTTCACCTCAGACTTTGAAAATGAATAAACTTTCCATCTATTCAATTAAAGATTGTGCCATTAATTAAAGATTTATTGCATTGAGAACAATATTTTAAGGTTAAATGAAAGAATAACAAGGTCTAAAATTCACACAATCCCACAAAATAAATAAATAAAAACTCTATATTGCCGGTTATGAACACTATGTTTGGGAACCTAGGAGAGAAAAGAAAAGAAATGATTACTTAAGTTATAAGAGAAATGAAATGAAGTGATTGTAATTTCTCTTTTTTTTGTTTGGATAAGAAAGAAATAAAAGAAAAGAAATGATTGTAATTTCTCTCATTCTTATTTGGTTAGATTTCATTAAGAAAAAAAAAATTTATTTTATGTTATATTATCAAAATAACCTTTTTATAATTTCAATCATTTTATTTCTTTTATTTTTATAGAGACAAAATTGGTATTATGAAAATAATGGTTTCTTTTCCCTCCCAATCTCTCCACTTTTGGGAAGATTGAAAAGGAGGCTTATAAGAGAAATGAGCGTCTGTTTGGGAAGGGCTCAACAGCTATATGAGCCACATGCGACAAAACAACCTCATGTAGCCACATGCGACAAAACACGCTTGCTAGGGTTGGAGAGGAACCCTTCTACAGGTAAATTGACCAAAATACCCTCACATCTCTTTCCTTCCTTCATGTCGTCCAACGCCCCACCACACACACACAACATAACCCAACGGTCCTAGGGCACGGAAGAAGCGAGCGAGGCGATCTCTCCCAACCACCGGTGACGCCATCAAAATACGGCTTCGCAGAGGCGATCGGCACCGAAGTAGGCTTCTGGCAGCGGAGAACAAGACCGAACCTTGTTCGATACACCACCGATTAACTTGTAACTCTTCCAAACCCATTCTGATTTCGTAGATCTTAATGCCCAATGCTTCATGAATGGAATGATTTTATTTTTTTCTACTTTTTTCCTTCCCCCACTTCAGATCGCACTGTATTTTGGCCTGTATTGATGGTATGCCGTTGTAGATTTGCCGATCTGGGGATATTGACATTTTTTCCTTGTTAATTTTTAAGCCACAGTTCGAAATTTGTTGTTTCAGTTGTTATGAGACTCCAACTTTGGGCAAAACAAACCCATATATCCCTCAAACATGGTTGATTCTTCCATATTTTTCCTCCCCAAAATCTGTTCTTTATTTATACATATTATAAAATTATGTTTACATTTTCACCAAGTAAATAAGTACTTACAATTTAATATTTTCTGATAAGTACAAAAATAAATTAACGAACAAAAAAAAATTTAAATTAATATACATTTTTCTGTAAATTAACAAAAAAATTTAATGAATAAATGGTAACAAAAAAATTTCGTATAAATAAATATTTGTTCTTTATTAATTAACATTTTTCTGTAAGTAAATTATTTTTTTTTTCAGATTCTGTTCTTAATGAATAAATTATTTCAGATTCTGTTCTTAATAAATAAAAAATTTCGTATTCTGTTCTTAATGAATAAAAAATTTCGTATAAATAATTTTTTTTTTTTTTTTCAAATTCTGTTCTTAAGTAAATAGTCACATTGTAATTTACATTTTTCTAATTATATTCAGATACACTAATAAATTTGTTAATATTTTAAAAATATATATATACTCATTCATAAATTGTAATTTACGAAGATAATGTTTACGAACAATGTTAAGACAAAATTACACAATAAAATTAGTACTTTAGTTATATATATTACACAATAAAATTACAATATTACACAAGTTTACTCCCCAAGTGAATATGTTTCTCATTTTATTATTAATTCTGAATGAGCACTGTGAATGCACTTACGGTTTTGTCAATGCATTTCTGATTATGGTAAAACACTCTGACGAAACACTCTGATTGTTGTCAATGCATTTCTGATTATGGTAAAACATTGTGATGAAACACTCTAATTCTTGTGAATGCAAGTCGAATGTTACGAATTCAGTACATGAATGAATTCTGTGTTATCAAATTAATGTATACATAAATTCAACAGCTTGTCTCTACCCAGTTGCTATTGGTATTGTCAATGACCACTGCGAATGCATGTCTGATTCTGTGAAATACCTATTGAGGAAAAACGAAATCACTTTTTCTAGTTACGAAATATTTTTATCAAACAAGTATGTCCATTTTTCATGTGCATGTCAAT